TCGGCAATTTTTTCAGTTGTTCCGGAATTTATGAAAACAGCTGTACTATTTCCACCCAGGTGACTCATGAATCCACCCGACGGGTTGCTTTTTTAACCCACCCGGGTTCTACCCGGGTGGCGTTTTTTTTTTTGACGGGTCCAATCACTAGTACCAAAAGCATTATCTGATGCCTAAGATTCGATCTGTTATCGTTATGATGGGTTATCCTTGAACTATATTATACGTATTGCATTTGAGTTAGTGATGGCAACGGTCGGCAATTTTCAGCTAGCCATTTTGTAGCCGTTGCTGTATTTTGAATGGTACTAAAATCATCCCATTTGGATTACTGGATCACGAGATACAGCCAACGGCTACAAAACGGCTAGCTGAAAATAGCACGTACGTGCACGGACAATGCATATTTACAATAGCACAAAACACAAAAAAGTATTATCGTTGTTAATGTGTACTATTTTATACCTTATTCCACGGTGAATCTGTTATGTAAATAATTTAAATAACTACAATCAGTGTGGTATTGACTCGCTTTTATGTTTAGGGATAATTTGAATTCTACAGACCTATAAGATTCAAAAACGTAAAGGTTTAAGAAATTATTATAAATAAATATCAATTCCATTGAAGTGTTTAACTTACCGCCTTTGTGATGTGGCCACCCTACCGATAATTTATTTTTTTTTTAAAAAAAAAATGCTTTTTTTTTATAATAAAATAAAATAAAATTTAATATATTATATTAAAAAAAAATTTTTTTCAAAAAACTTATTATTAATCCATTATAAAAAATTTGTTCTGTGATGAAACCAACTTTTTTTCAAAATTTGCGATTTTGATTGTTATCAATGATTTTTTCGGATTGAATTCGAATTTACTCAATTCGAATTATAACCGGATTCATGAAAAAGAATCTGGATTCAATCCGGATAACCCTGAAGAATAGGATCGAAGCTCTATTTTAGTATTATCATCAGAATAAATCCACCGTATAAGCGCGTAATAACACGCAGGGGCGCGTTATTTCGGGACGCGCATGCGCGATAATTCGAATCATTGTGCTAATTTTGAAAAAAAAACTTTCAGCTACTAAGAACTTTCTGGAATATCATAATAGAACTTAGTTTTTTGAGATAAAGACAACATAAGGCGAATAAATTCTAGATAAATTGTTAATAAATAGGTTTCAGATTTAGAGGTTGAACCTAAACTTGTTATATTCGAATTTATTCGAAGATTCAAAATAGCACGTGAAGATAATCTGGTACATATGGGGTGCGTTATTTTGAGACGCGCATGGGCGTTATTTTAAGTCAAATATGCCATTTTTAAAAAATTGAAATTTCGAAATAATGTCCATGTGCGTTATTACGCGCTTATACAGTATATTCGTTATCAATTATAAAATTCAGATGGATGGAAATTCTTCAAACACAAGCGGCGGGATAGCACGATATTGATGTGCCAACTTCAGAGTGGTTCATTCTCAGGCAATTGTTCTAAATCAAATTTGTTAAAACTCATTATTTGGTTTTAAACTGGCCTAATTAATTGCATTTGAGTGAATTAGAGTTAAAATAATTCCAAATATTCAATGATCATATACCTTGACATGCTTAGCAAATCGTAAACGTTTCTCGGATTCTTGAATTCTTTTTCTTACATTAATTGGATGATGTGATGATGAAGTAAACTCTACTTTTGCTATCCTTTTGAGGTTCCATTTCCAACCAGATACCAAAATAAAGTGCTTACTTTCTGTCTGAAAAAAAAACCAAGCCGAATCAGTTCTTTATAATAACTTTTAAACCAATAAAAAATTTTGTCCTCATCTTGTTTTTTTTTCAATTGTTTTTTGTTTTTAAAAAAAAAAATATATATATATATAGTAAGAAAGTTCAATCGCCCAAAAATTTTAAATCAATCATTTATCTGTGAATATATTGCAAGGAATAGATAATAATTCACCCAAAACCGTAAGTACTAAAATAAAAAGATCTGGCTGCCCCAGGTCTTAATCATCGGTTTAATAAGCCTAATACGGTATCTATCTAGGTATTAGGCTTACCTGTTTAGTCCTAAAATCGTTTACTTCCCTTTCTACGTTTTCACAACATTTAATAGCAATGTTCTTTGAAAATATCTGATACACGACCTCCTTAAACCAATATCCGGTGACAGTATGAGATGAGACAATGATTTTGTAATAGTGAACGTTATAAGCTTTAAGGTTAAAACAATTTAATTGTATTTTTAGGGCGAATTCTTAAAATCTTTTATGTAAGTATATTAATATCGGATTAAGAATTTGAGGCATGTTTATTTGATTATTACCAAAAAGTTATCAGAAGTTAGAGATTACTGAATGAAGAGGTGTTTCAAATGCACCTTTTTTTCAATATGTATTATTTCAGGAATAATATATTACTTTATTTAATTTCAGAATACCTTCTTGTATATACGCAATAATTTCGTATGAAATGCGGTGGAGCTTCCTGTGAAGGATACTAATTAACACTATAGTAGTTGTTACATGAATTCGCCCACGGGTCCGTTAAATCATGTGGTGTTATTAAATCAATGATTCTAAATAATGCAGTTCCAAAGTGATTAAATGTTTTATGTTTCTCTTTCTTACGTGTAAGCCGGAAAATAAAAAAAATAAGAAATTTTGGTTATTGATCATGGCTATATTTCAAGGGCAACTGTATTGGGAAAACCATTATTCATTTTTTTTCTCTTGCTCAATAAGTATGCTTCGACATTCTCTTCATTCCTTCTTTTTTTCCTACTTGTTTTTTGTAATTTGTTTCGTCCAATTTGCTTTTTAATTTACTTTTTGATGGTGTAATTCTTTAGATTTTTGATAATTCTATGTCAACAAGTTTAACCCACTCATCGCAGGCACCTTATATTTGATAGTCGATGAATCCATTCCATCCTTTAGTAACTACATTGGTAGCATCCACCAATATCACGCAACCTTTACAACCATGAACCGCTCTTGCAAATTCTTTTATAAAAGCTTTTATTCTCGGAATTCTTAAAGAAGTTCCCATTATAGTCAAACAATCAGCTTTATCTTGATCGTTTGCTGCGATCAGACTAATTTCTAATCCTTTCGGATGTGAATCACCGTAAAGAATTATTGTCGGTTTCAGTTGTCCAATAGGACGTGGTCGTTTTCCTTGCTCGTTCCTAACGTTTTCTAATTTATTAAATAGTCTAATCAACTTAATGTTCACTTTTGTCTAAAAATTTGATTTGGTTGCTTTTATTCTATAATATCTCATATGATGCCTATGTATTTACCTCTCTCTTCACATTCAGGAAATTTGGTGCTTCACCTTGCTTAAAAATCACAATATTGTGGTGTAAAAGAATAAACATTGTGCAATGCTACATTGTAACTTTGCCAAAGTTGAATTACTTGGGCTTGGCAAACTTTTACTCTTTCAAATTGCCATACTAGTAGGAAAAAAAGAAGGAATGA